AAAAAGGAGCAGCCCAGTTAAAAAAAAAAAAGATTTGCAGCCTTGGAAACTAAGTGGAGTGTCACCATTAGTCAGAAATGGACTCAGTGGAAGTGGGTTGGTTAAAATATGTTTTGGGGGGAGGGGTTTGTGCGGGGAGAAGGGTGCAACAGTGAATGAATGGAATTCCAAAATCTCTGTAGATGTTCATCGAAATGAAAAATAAACAACCTAAATTTAAAAAAAAAATATGTTTGAAAGACCCCAGTATTTGCATGTGTTCAGAATAGTTCAAAGTATTGTTAGCTTGAGCTCTGGTGGCTCAGTGGTCAGGAGTTATACTACCAGCCCAAACACATGTGGTTCACATCCACCAGCTGCTCTGTGAGAGAATGATGGGCTTTCTTTCTCTTCCTCTGCTGTATACTCTCTCTGAAAACCCACTGGAGGGTAAGCTGTCGATTGGTTTCTTACTCAGTGGTACACAGCAACATTGTTAGTTTATTTACATGTAATTGATGTTCTTCTGTGATAAATGCAGGGGAGCATTTTCAGATTTCCTAGGCTGAAGTTAAGGAATAGAAAAAGAGTGGTGAAATAAGAAGTTAGAGGTTGTTTAGATGAGGTTGCTAGATTCTCTGACTCATTGTGACCCTGTGAACAACAGATCTGAACCTTGCCCTCTCCTGCACCGTCCTTGCCATCTCTGATAGGCTTGAGCTCATTGTGAAAGCCATTTATTTATCTTGTTGAGGGTCTTTCTCTGACCTTCCACCTTTCTTTTTCCAAGGACTGATCCCTCCTGACAACATGTCCAAAGTATGTGAGATGAAGTTTGACCATCCTTGCCTGTTAGACACATCCTGGTTGCACTTTCTCCAATACAGACTTGTTTGTTCTTTAGGTACCCTATAGGCTACTTGTGACCTATTGAAATAGGAAAAGGAGGAGGAGTATTCAAAGTGAAGCCTTTGAATTGAAGAGTCTTAGTGCTTCCTCCTAAGTAGCCTAGTGGATAAGGAGTTATACTAACAGCACAAAAGCAGAGGTTTGAATCTATCAGCTGCTCCATGAGAATAAAATGAACCATCTTTGCCTGTGCAATTTACATCCTCTGAAAACCTGCTAGAATGTCAGCTGTGAGTCAGTTTTACCAACAGCACATAACATCATCTCTTTATTTTATTTCATTTTGTAGAATAGTTTAACAGGAATAGAACATCACTCATATCTAATTTAAAATTTTTTACTTGTTTTGTTGTTAGGGACCTTTGAATTAGTTCCTGCTCATAGTTTATAAAGCAAATTGGTTTTCTGTTCTGTCATTCCTACAGATGTATGTTTGAATTTAGTTACAGCCCTCACATTGTAGTAATAGTCTTTCCATTTCCCTGGAATTCTCATTTCCATGCATCTGTCCGTTCCTTTCTGGCTTCTGAGCTTTCTCTTGGAAAATATTGTCTTTGATCTTCCATGATTGATTATGCTAAGGAGTGTATACATCCTTGATGTTTTTGTTCACCTGATGAGCAAGTTTGTTGTTCTACTTACAAGCTGAGCAACAGAATTGAATTTAGTTCTCGACTCAAAGAGTAGCTAAGAGTGGGAGAAGCATCTTTAAGAAGCCTCCTTAGGGGAGCTCTGGTGGCCTAGTGGTAAGGAGCTGCAACTACAATCCCAGAGGCGCACGGTTTGAATCCACCAGATGCTCTGCCGGGGAAGGAGGAACAATCTCCTCCTGTACCAGTCAGATCTGCTTTGACGGTGCACTCACACAAAAATAATAAAATTTTTTTTTTAAAAAAAAAGAAGCCTCCTTAAACCTTTCTGCAGTAAGTTACCTCAAGATTTGTACTGCATTTGAGATACTTCATTTTCTGCCAATTTGTTCTTGACATTTTCCTTTTCACTATAAAATGCTACAAACATATTGGAAAATTCAGAAGAGTGATATTTATTAAGAGATAAGATGCTTTCTTATTTTTAAGGTGGAGGCAGAACGACGAGCCAATGAAGAAAAAGAAAACAAAGCTAGTGAAGAATACATACAGCGATTATTGGCAGAGGAGGAAGAAGAGGAGAAAAGACAAGCAGAAAAAAGGCAAAGAGAGATGGAAGAACAGCTGAAAAGTGATGAAGAACTGGCAAGAAGACTCAGCATTAATATCGTAAGTTTTCAGAGTGAAGTTAAGTATTACTATTTTTACTGCTTTAGTTTTCAAACAGCTAGTGGCATTATGCTTACTTACCAACAGGAAAACCCATTTCTGATATATTTGCATATTAGAAAATGTTTTTGTATATTGTTAAATATTTGCACTAATACAAGATATTTTATGTTGGGGTTTTATGTTTTTTTTAAAATACTGGTAATATGTTGTAGTATTATTTATTGGAAAAAATATGGAAACCTTTTTCTCTACTCCTGTATGATCCCTTTGCCCATTAGAGCTCTGGTGACATAGTCTGTAGATTCAGATCCACCAGCATGGTTCAAATTCACCAGCAGCTCCAAGAGAGAAAGATGGACAGACTCCATTATGATTTGCAGCCTTTGAGTTAAATTCTAATACATAGCAACCCTGTAGAACCACATAGAACTGCCAGATAGTTTTCCAAGGTTGTAAATCTTTACAGAAGCAGACTGCTTCACCCTTCTCCCACATAATAGCTATTGGATTCAAACTCTTGACATTTTGGTTAGTAGCCAAATGCTTTAACCACTGTGCCACCAGAGCATCTAACTAACCTTGAACCCTAGGTCCTGTATTTTGCTGCTGTATAAAAGGTGACTGGTTGGCATCTACCACTGCTCCTCAGGAAAAATGTGGCAGTCTATTCCTGTAAAGATTACAGATCAGAAATCTGCTGGAGGGTCACTATGAGTTTAAATCACTCTGATGGAGTGTGCATGTTGTTGAGTCAGAACTAACTTATAGTTGGCTCTCCAACAGGTTTTCAAAAGCTGTAAATCAGAGATTACCTATCTTCCTTCTGTGGAGAATTATTTGAGTCTCATTCCCAAAGACTCTGACTCAACAGAATTAACATAACAGGAACCTCTGGTGAATTAAAACTGCCTGCCTTTGGGTTGACAGTGCAATTCCCTACCACTAGACCAACAGAGATCTCTGTAGAGCAATGGGTATGGTTATATTACTATCTGGGAATAGAAAACTAATGAAAGGATAATAAAACATTTACTTTTTAAAAAATATACTGTGAAAGGAGCAAATGCAATGTGAGTGTGATTGATTCTGCCTTCTGCTCGCTCATAAAGGGGAACTGTGTCATCAGTAATACCCATAGTAAGTACCAAAATTGCCACCACCATGCTCCTGCACCTTTTCCTACCAATCATTGGGTCTGGTGTTTGTTGCAAGACTCACAATGTGATGTTTATTAGAGAAGTAGGTTGGAGTGTAGGGGAAGCAAAGAATATCACACAAGGCAATTCCAAGTTTAGTCCAGCAGTCAGTCCCAAGCCAGATTAACAACAAGGCAATTCGTGAAAGAAAGCTTTTCAGTCAACTACTGGAAATCTAGGTTCAGTTAGCTGCACAAATGCAAGAAGCCTCTGGTTTCCTCAGTCAGCCAGCAAGCAAAACCTTTAACTGTAGCCTTTTTCTCCAAGGTTCCTCTGGTTACACTTTGCCACCATCTCTTCACACACTGCCTACCACCATCTCTCACAATGTCTTCACAGTCCCTCCATCACCATCTCTCAAAGTGTAGAAAGCACTTTTCTTATATTGGTCTCACAGCTGTTGATGATTAGCAAGCACATGTGTCCACAGTTAAGAGAGCTAGACCCGTGCCGGTCAACAGGGGCTAAAATATTGGCTGGAAAATCCAATTTTCATGGGCTCTAACACCCCATATATATTGTCATGTTAAATCTGCTATGTCAGAATCTTCGAGAGTGAGACTCAAGGAATTCTACCCCTTGTGGTCTTCTGGGTAAGTATTATTTTAAAGTCTCTATAAATTATTCTTCTGCTTTCAAAAAATAAATATTTTAAAATTTTCTTAGCCCAAAATTAAAAATACTCAGAATTTTTTGTTTTAAAAAGGCTTACTATCTATAATAATAAACTCAAGATTGTAGTTACAGGCAATTTAATTTTTTTTTTTTTTTTATTTGAGTTAAATTTTTTTGGAAAGATAGATAATTGGGAGATTTAAATATTTCCTTGACACCCTCCCAGGATTGTATCTGGAGAAGACTAGTATTCTCTCATCTTTGGACACTGGAGGAAAAGCAAGCCTGTCAGGGACCCATTCCATTCCCACTTGGTTCAGTAGCTGGTGATTGAAAGATACTCTGCAACAGTATTAAAATAAATAAATAAATTCATTGACTAAGAAAAAGAAGTGGTGATGTTATTATGTGCCACCACATGGACAAAGATAACATTTCCATGTACTTCAGAACAAAACTTTGCCCCATTCTGTGCCACCTTCACATATGGCCATTGTTGGAGTCACTGTATGATTCCAAGTCCTTGAGAAATTTCTGCTCCTTTGTTTACTTCCTCTCAAGTATGATGTCTTTTTCCAAAGAAATGGAGTAAGAAAGAAAATACAGCCTTTAAGACAATTCCAGTCTATTTTACAGGATCACAATAAATGAGAAGCCACTCAATGGAAATGGGTTTGGGATTTTGTTTTGGTTTTGTTTGATTACCTATCTCTAAGTGAGTCTATATTTTTATATCTTCCTGTGATGGGCAGGAGGAGGTGTTTTGTTTGTTTCGCTAGTAAGAAAAGTAAGTTTATTAAAACAAAATGCACTCTTTAGAGTTCTAGGAGGTTCCCAGGCCTGGTTCCTTAGGAAAGATAAAATGTGGTATTGGCAGAAGGATAGTGAAAGGCACTCTGTGTGTGTACTGTCAAATTGGATCTGACTGGTACAGGAGAAAATTGTCTCTCCTTCTCCAACAGAGCATCTGGTAGATTTGAACCGCATGCCTCTGGGATTGCAGTACAGCTTCTTCAGAAAGGCATTATTGGTGAGATAAGAACAGGTACCCCTCATGGCATGAGGGAAGTAAAATCCATCGTGTTTTAACATGAGATTGTACAAGCAGATTTCTTTATTTTAGAATAATTTTTATTAGCTTGTAAAAGTTTGTGGCCCAAGGCCAAGCATCTATCAACACTAATGATATGAATTTTTCCAACAGTGTAATAAGGAAATTTATGAGAGTGGTATACAGTAGATAAATATTTGTGACATTTATTGGTATGCTGTTAAGCCCAAAATTGAAATTTTTTTCACAGAATACTTTTACTCCTAACATATTTATAGCTCTTTGTATTTTATACTGTAGATTAATACTTTCCTTACTAGAAAAAGTAATTTTTAGCTAATGTGATTAGTATCGCATACACTTTAAAGTTCTCTTTAAGAATAAACTGAGTAAGATCTGTGTAAAGAAGAGAAGGGGGACAGAAAAAGGGGGAAGAGGGAAACCACCAGGAAAGCAGAGATTAGGGAGAAGAGGGGAAGAAGTAATGGAAAAGGTTCACTGGGGGCTTGAAAACATGGGGTGGTAATAGGCATAGAGCAATGATTGTATAAAACACAAAGTGTATGTACAAACCATGATGATTATGAATGCAAACCAGTAAATGAGAACTTTTAAATTAAAGAAATCTTTAATAATACATTTTTTATTTATGTATCCATGTAGAGCAGTGTCTGTGAGAGAAGTGTCGTGGCTTCTCCCTTGAATTCCAGGAAATCTAATTCAGTCACAGTCAAGTCACAAAAGAAAAGTAAGAACTTTCCAAAAAACACTGGAGATATTCAGAAGTAAGTGAACATGACTATCTGTTGTTTGTGCCACTGTTATTTGTTCATATAGACCACTGATAACTGTAAGTTAATTTGAAATACATTCAAAGAAAGATGGATAGATATGTGATAAATGTAATACAGTTACGGAGCTTGTAGATATGTGTTTATTTGCAATTTCCTATATTTGTGAAAATTTTATAATAAAATATGAGGGAAAGCACAAACATTCATTTTGTTATATGCCGTCAAGTTAGAATCGGCATGTAACTGACCTCCTGTGGGTTTACAAGAAGATCCTGCCCGTCTTTCATGGAGCTGTTGGTGTGTTTGAATCAACACCTGTCTTTGGGTTAGCAGCACAACTCCTATCCAGTAGGCTACCCAGTAGAACTAAATCCAGTCACTATAATAAAACAGCGGCAAATTAAATGTTCTGCATAAAAAGATTATCAAACTTGTTCCTCCCTCAATTCTGAGTATAAACTACTTGGAAAATACCAACTAATATGTCAGCAGAACTGTGCTCTATAAAGTTTTCAATGTCTGGATTTTCAGCAATAGATAATTAGGTGTTTCTTTTGAGACATTTTTGGGTGGAATCAGATGTTAGCAGCTAACTACTTCAATCCTTAGAGTAAGAGACCTATCCTTAAAGAAATCAGATATGGAAAGATTAAAAGTAAAGAATGAAAAAAAAGTATGACCAAAACCCAATCATTTAACCGTAAATAGTATATGGGAGCTCCGGTGGCCTAGAAGTTAAGAAGCTGTGCTGCAATTTCAAAAGCACGTGGTTTGAATCTACTAGCAGCTCTTCCATAGGAAGAAGATTGACAATCTCTTCCTCTGTGTTTACTGCCTCTATGGGTCAGTTCCGACTCAGTAGTACCCTACAGCAATATGGTAAATCATAAAGTTTTAGTTTGCAAAAAAATCCCCAATTTTTAGTTTATGCACACCTAAGACTAATACAGCTTCATTTCATTAGGGAGCTCTGGTGGCCTGATCTGTAGAGAGTTTTGCTCCAGACACAAAAGTAGCATCTTTGGTGGTTCAAATCTTCCTGCACTTCTACTGGAGAAGGATGATCAGTCTCCCATGTAATTTATATTTCCAGAAAACCCATTGGAGGGTCAGCTGTCAGTTTTAATTTGACTACAATGAGTTTTTTGAGTTTCTTTCATTATGCTGTCAAATAAACACAGAATTATGAGGACAGATAAATCCACCATCATAATGGTAGATAGTACCGTACCCCTCATCATAATTGACTGGTTAAATTAAATAGAAAATCTATAAGGATAGGTAAGATTGAAAAGTTAGGTTAATAACCTTAAATGGGTTTTTTAGAGGAACTCCAACTTTGTATCATATACTTTGGATATGTTGTCAGAAAATGCCAGTCTTCGGAAAAAAATATGCTGGGAAAGGTGGTGGGTCAGGGAAAGAGAGTAAGACTCTCAGCAAAATAAATTGACATAGTGACTATAACATTGGGTTTAAGCTTGTCAGAGATGTGGGGATGATATAGTGTGGTGCAAGGTTCCTATCTGTGCTTTGAGTTGTTAATTGACGACTTCTCAGTAATTAATGTAAATGGATTACATGGTGAGTTAAAAGGCAGATTACTAACAAAATGACATTTTTTTTCTTAATTCCATGCTGTCAGCTGTTTTTTGGATAAAAAACACAAATAGGTTTGACATGATAGGATAGAAAATTAAGCCATATGTAAGTAGTAACAAAAAAGGATCTATGATGATTGTACTAATAGCAGACTATAACTAAAAAGTTATTAAAAGAAATAAGGACATGATAAGAGTCAGCTCATCAAAAAGATAAAATTATGATATTTTTATTATTTATATGTTTGAAACTAACAGGACAATCCCTAATGCCTTGAGCAAAAATAGACACTTATGTAAAATAAGTCTACAATATTAGTTCAAGATTTCAATACTTTTAATAATGATTCTATGCCTCTGTCATAAGATCATTAAGGAAATTATTAACCATTATAAAAAAAAATATTAACCGACTACAAGTATCTTCTCTGACCCCAGTAAAATAAAACTGTAGCAGGTAGAAAATTCGCAAATATATGGAAATTAAATGGCATACTGTTAAACAACCAGTGGGCCAAAGAAGTTTGTTAAAATACTTTTAGATGTTGGAAAAATGGTACACAAAATATCCAGTGTTTGGTGCATATAGCAAAATGCATTGCTTTTTTTTTTTAATACTGGTTTGTATACATTGTTTTTCATACTGAATCTTTCCCATTTTATTCCCCCCCCAAAAAAAACATTACTCAGAAGTGTGTAGAAGTGTATAGATGTAACTGCCACCATTTAAAGAGATACTAACCTAATTTGACATATCAGAAACTATAAGCAAAAGAATAAACCAAATGTTGAAAACTTATGGCAGGAGGAAAAAGACAAAGCTAAAAAGAAATACAAATAATAGAGAAAATCAGCAAAATCAAAAGTTACTTCTTAGAAAACATCAACTGAATTAAAAAACCTTTAAGCAGTCTCAGACAAAAGGAAAAGAGTGAAATTACTAAAATCAGAAGTAATAAGTTGGGGCATTACTAGCAATAATACTATAAACAGTTACAACTCTTTTTTTTTTTAAATTTTTTTTTATTGGGAAAAACATATTGGGGGTACAAGGAGGTGAGGGTTGGGGGCAGAAGGGTGAGGATGGGCCAGGATGCAGTTGCAGAGCTGCACAGTTTGGTCGGTTTCGGGAGCAGGTGAAGGAAATGATGAGGGTCCAGTGGGGACCGGATGCTACAGAGGAATGACAAGCATTTTCCAATGGAAATTAAACCACCTGTCTTATTGATTTGGGAATTGGATGCCGACTCTCTGGCTTCTTCATGCTGAACAGGGGCATAGATGTAAAGGAGGGAAGGGAGGACACTTTATCACCTTACTGGTGGTCTTGGGTTAAAGCTGCTTGCCTTCTTGCTCTGTTAGAAGATATTTTCCTGTCATTTGCTCCCCTCTGGACTGCAAAGTGTTTTCCCAGGTGGGTCCAGTGGGGATGGCTGGTTGAACCCAGAGGCTCCATCCTCCTTTGCTTCCTTAGCTGTCAGTTGTATTTCCTTTTTGTCACTGGCACTGGGTTCAGGGTCAATTCTGGAGTAAAACTCAGAGTTAAGGTTACCTATAGGAAAGGGAGCAAACCTAGAGAGAACAAACTTGTGAGTTACAAATAGAAGGGCTTTGAGGGTGTTGCTTTCAGGTTTACCGGGGGGAGGGTGGCAGAAGGTGGCCTAGGTAACACTCTCTGGATACCTTAGGCATTCTTTTTTTTTTTTCTCCTTACCCACCCAGGGGTCAGATGGCACAATCTGGGGACTGAGGAGCTCACCCTGAGTGCCGTGACGTCTCACCCCGAGCCGAGGGCCGAGGGCAGCCCATCCCGAGCAGGGCAACACCCCCCAGGAGCTGGCTGGTATACTCCCCCTCCAATTGCCCCTACCCCAGTCTGGGCCCCTCGCCTGACTGAGGACTCTGTGGTCAGGGATAGTGTTTCCAATTCCAACACTGCCACTTTTACCCCCCCGTAAGTGGTCATACTATATTTTGAAGTAGGTGTCACTGCCCTCCCCCTTTATATATGATAAAGGGAACCTGAGAATTGTGAACAGACTCCCCCCAGGTCTAACCATCTTTTGGCAGAAGCATTCAACAGAACAAAATATGTGGTGCATTTAGGATGTCAGTCCTCTTGTGCATGCTGCCACTGTTAAGGTCATCAGACTCACAGTGACTTTCAGCAATCCATTGTATAGGTAATCGTCTGCTTTGGCCTGTCCAAGGAAACCCAAACCTGCAGATGGCGGGCATGCATCCCATCCCCCACCTCCTACACAGGCGGCCAGCGGGGCATGCGCGCCCCTCCCCCCCAGCGTGGGAGGCCGGTGGGAGGCGTGCGGCCCCCCCCCACGGGCGGCTGTTGGGGGCACACCCCCCACCCCACCGCACTGGTGCTCGGCGGGTGTGTGGCCCCTCTTGTGTAGGCGGCCGGAGAGCTCCCACTTCCCCCACAGCCGCCATCCTGGCTCCAAGAATTCTCTCCAGAACAAGTCCACCCTGTGGCAGTGTGGTGGCTTCGCTGTGCCAGTCTTGAGGAGGGCTGGTGCCCAGCATCCATCCTGGGTGAGGGAATCCATTCGTTTCAGCTGTGGAAGCCTCATGGAGCTGCAGCGGCTGTGCAGCGCGGCACGGGCTCTTGGGGGGGAGGGGTGTTGGGAGCCACGAGACTCACCTATTTCTCCTTGGGAATTCTTGAATTCCTGTTGTTGAACCTTGATCTTCACTGAGGGCTAGTCATCAACTGTTTAAGTGTTCAATTATCAATAAGTTGAAGTCAGTGGAAGGCCATAATGGCCCTGCTTTAAGTGGTTCGCTGCTCCCGCAGCTCGCCACGCTGTCTCTGTCTCCACCGCCATCTTGGATCCCAACAGTTACACTCTTAACGGATGACCTAAGTGAAATAGATTTCCAGAAATACTCCCAAAACAGACCCAAGAAGAAACAATAAATTTTAATGTAATTGTGTACTGATGAGACCATCTCATAGCTGACCCCTCCAGCATGTTTTCAGAGGCAGTCTGCATGGAAAAGATTGCCCATTTGTCTTCTGCAGAGCAACTAGTAGATTTAAACTGCATGCCTTTGGGGTGGCAGCACAGCTTCTCACCACTTGGCCACCAGAGAACCCTAAATTTTAATGTTGTTGTTAGGTACTGTCAAATCTGAACCGACCCATAGCTGACCCTCCAGTGGGTTTTCATATCTCATAGGTGTTGATTGCCAGTCTTTCTCCTGAAGCAGCTGGTGGATTCAAACCACGTTCTTTGTTGGCAGAGTGATTCTTTACCATTAGGCCACCAGAACTCTTTGTTATTAGAACACCAGAACAGAATTATTAAATATAAGGATGTCCATTTAAAGACTTAAAATATTCCTGACCCACCTTGGTATTTTCACTTTTTCCTGTGTATCTGAAAGTTGGACAGTGAATAAAAAAAAACTACAGAGCAAATGATACCTTTGAATTGTGGTGATGGAGAATACTACTGATTATTCTGTGGACTGCTAAAAGAACAAGTAAGTCTGCTTCAGTAGAAGTATATCCAGGGTGCTTCTTAGAAGCAAGGATGATAAAACTCGTCTCACATTCTGTGGACATGTTATCAGGAGGCTCCAATACCCTGATAATGACATCATGTTCAGAAAGGTATAGAGTCAGTGAAGGAGAGGAAGACCTTCGGTGTGATGGGTTGACATGGGAACAGTGAACTTAAGCACAGCACCAATTATGAGGATAGCAGAGGACAAAATAAGGCTTTTATTTATTGTACGTAAAGTCACTGTGAGTGCAAGTAGATTTTGTGGCATCTGGCAACATTAACTAATGAAATAAATCAGTAATTGACTAGCATACCTGACTCTCCACTGAGTTTCTGAGGCTGTAAATCACCCAGGACGAGATTGTCCCACTTTCACACCTCAAAGGTGCTGGTAGATTTGAATCCCTGAAGAGGTGAGCCTTTAGGTAGCAACTTTCTTTGGGCTACACCAGCAGTGCTCCTTACTATAGCCAGAGGGAAGTATTACAAGAGAAGATAACTCCACCACTTTCCCTCTGATAATTTGAGACTCCCTACAGAGCCAGAAGGGAGCTCTGGTGGCCCAGTGGTAAGGAATAGAGCTGCTATGAATGCCTAGGTACGTGGTTTGAATCCACCAGCTGCTCCACAGGATAAAGATGGGCAGTCTACTTCCGTGAGATTTACTACCTCTGAAAATCTGCTGGAGAGTTAGCTATAGGTCACATCCAACTTGACGATGCACGGCAAACCAGAGCCAAAATTCCTTAAAAAAATCTTTGTAGGGCAAATCTACAGTCAGAAGATTATATACCACTGCTTTTGTAGTTGTTGGGTACTATCGAGTCAGAACCAAACCATAGCTGACCCTGTAGCGGGTTTTCAGAGACAATTAATTGCACTGAAGGAGATTGCCCATCCTTCTCCCACAGAGTAGCTGATGGATTCAAACCTTTTGGATTGCAGCGCAGGTTCTTGCCACTAGACCACCCTGTATACCACTACAAACTGAAATTTATCCCAGAAATGCAAGAGTATTTTAACTTACCAAAATCAATTAATGTAAAATCATATTCATAAACATAAAGGTATAAACCAATAGGCTTTGTTACCAAAAGTTTAGTTAGTATTTGGGCTGATGTAACTATATACATGATTTAGGTACTCTGATTATCTATAAGGGATATTTATTTGTTCTTTACAGGAAGTTTTTTTCTTTAGGTTTTGTTACCAGATACAGAACTGACTGATGCTTTAGACACAATCTTTTTTTTTAGATATTATTTACAGCAGACCTTCAATTCCTTTTCCCCTTTTAATTATATAAATAATTAGCTACTCTGAAAATCATTCAAAATTCTCACCATTTAAAGACAGCTAAATGTTGGAATGTTTATCATTATTAAAGCTGTCTTGTGTATAATCATTTTATTCTCTCCTATACCATTTGTCATTATTTATAGACTTCAGAGTTTTATATTTGTATATCTCTAAAGAGATAGTTGCTACAAAGTATGTATGTAATAAAATATAAAAATTATGAAAAGTATAATCATGAACTCTTTCTTCCCTGTAGAGAGAAAAAATGTTAATGGATAAAGTTTTTGGCATTTAAAAAAAGAACTATTGTGTGTATCCAGTCTCCTGATTTAAAATGTCATGTCTGTTACTTTTAGGAAGGCAATACACTCTTCGTTGTGCTAATGCTATTTTTATTTATTTTAAGAATTAAAAAATGACTAAATTTTATTATCTAATAAACTGATAAAAAGATTGCATTTTTTCTCATTTTACAGTTTTCCATCAAAATATCAGTAGTCTACCTTTTTTGCTCTAGAGTGAGATGGGATAATTTTTAACTACATTATTTTCTGAAAAAATCAGCCAATCTAAAGCATACCTATATAATCTATTTTATCATATTGTGTGCATTTTACTTTCAATCTTTCAATACATTTGAACTTCACCAACTTTTCTTTAAGGTATTTGTCTCCTAAATCTCTATTTGGTTCAGCATCACAATCTGAAGATAAGCAAAGCTCCATATCTAAGGTATGTTGATGCTAAAAATATTAGTTCTTCGTTTGACAAGTTTATTGATAGTGTGGAATATTCTGATATCGGTGGTTTCTTTTTTTTTTAAATGCAGGAAAATAATATTAAACTGTTTGCCAGTTCAACATTTTTTTAGCGTGTACATTTAAGGATATTAATTACTCCCCTCCCCACTTTTTTGTTTATTCTTAAACTCACAGTGCCAAGTGGAGAACTCTTATCTTAAACATCACTTTTTCTCTAAAAGGCCAGATAGTAAATATTTAAGGCTTCGTATCTATACTCTTTGTCACAGCCATTAAACTTTTAATTGTACCGTATATATAATTGTACTGTATAAACACGTGTGTTGTTGTTAGAGTCCTCACCTTTTTATATATTCAAAAGCAACTTACAATATTGAGTATTTTAAATCTTTATATATATAAAAATAATCATAATATTTGTACATGTCTGTACCTAGTATCACTTATAAAATACATTTTTAGATTCTTCCATGCTGATATATGTAACCTTTTACTGCATGCTTTTTTTCCCCTATATTCAAAATCAACTTTACATGATGACTCATAGTGACCCTATGAGACTCTATGAACCAAAGACCTGAACACTTCTATAACTTTCATCGTTTCTCCAAGTTCATAGAGTTTCCAGAGGCAAGCTATTTTGGAAGTGGGTGTCACTCCTGTTTCTAAACTAGTTTTAATCGGGGAGCTCCACCTATCACTGTCCTCTTTGAGTAACCATTATCACATTTGACACATCAGTGTCGCAGTGTTTAGCATCACAGCAACCACAAGTTACCTCTGTACAGCAAGTGGACAGAGCAGTGCTGTATGTCACTTAGAAGAATGTTTGACCAAAAACATTTAAAACCAGGCCTGAGGGCCGCAGACTATAATCATCCCCTTTGCCTTGGTAGCGTAACTTTCTATCCACGAGGCCCACAGAGCTCTATGTTGGTATAAACAGCTATAGATGATACATTTTTTTATAAAAAAAAAGTTAGCTTGTCAGTGTTCAGTAAAACTTTATAAAAACAGGCAGGATTTGGTATATGGGCCATAACTTTGCTGATCTTTAATCAAAATAATCAGATTTACAAAGCTGAATATGCTATGCTTGACTCAATTTTTCTTAGAGGGCTACAGTCTGTGGCTACCGGTCTGTGATGGGACAGTCCAATAATAATAGTTCTCGGGATCAATCAGGCATGTCTGTGTGGGAGAGTAGTCACAGCAGTTTTCACATGAGAGTCTAGGAATGATCCTACACAAGTGAGTATAGAATGTGCATTCTGGCTTAGAAGACTCATGCTCCTTAAGAGTCAGTTATTTTATTAGAACCCATGAGTGTAGTTTTCATGGGTTCTACTATGGAACACAGTCAAGAGTTGTGTCTTACTTGTGTAATCCTCAAGGAGCCTTGGTGGCATAGTAAGTAATGTCTCATGGCTGCTGTCTGAAAGGTCCAGTAGCCAGTCCCTAGGAAAAGATGAGCAGGCTCCTCCAGTAAAGATTTACAGTCTTAGAAACCCAAAGGAGGGTCACTTAGAGTTGGAACCAGCTTGATGACAAAAGGATTTTTTTTTAATTAAGTCATTCTAAACATGTGACTTCAAACAAGGTAATTTATAGATGATACATAGTTCTAATTCAGGTACATTTCGCCAGCGAAGGGTCCTTTATACTAAAAGTTAACACAGGTGATAATTCTACCTTTATCATATTTCCAGGAAAATAAAACTAGGAAAGGAAAATAGTGCCATGACCAGTTTCCTACATAGAAGGTCTTTGTTAACTTGTTGTTTACAGGTTCCTGAACTATTTCAGTTCAGCTGGGTGCTTTTATAACATTCTATAATTTAATTGAACATTATTGTCTATAATTTATGTATTTTCTTACTTATTGTCATCATAATTACCACCTCTTTCCTGATCTCATTTTAGAGTTGAGAAAACCAAAGATCCAAAAAGTTCAATAGACTTTTCCAAACACCATCAGCCAGAAGTAGAAAGAAAAGAATCTCGATAAGCTGCTTTGTACTAGAACTGAGAATTGATGGAAAGGATGTGATAATACTGGGATATTTTTCCAACCCAGGTGTTTTTATTCAAAGCAAAACCAGGGCACAGTCTAGAATGTGTGTGTAAGAAAGGCAGTAAAAAATAAGAAATGCAAAGCATTCAGGATCAAAACCAAATAAAGGGTTTTCCACAAGGAATAATTTGTTCCAAGGTATATTTGTGTCTAAACATTTCTTAGAGAATTCTGATGGCTTTGTTTTGCTGCTAATCCAAAGGCTGAGCCTTCCTTACAGTTTGAATCTACCATCAGCTCCCTAAGGAAAAAAGATGGACAATCTCCTTTCATGTGACTTACAGCTTCAGAAACCCTTGGGAGGGTCAATAATGAGTCTGTTTTGACTTGCTATCAACGAGTGAATGAAACGTCCTTAAATGAAAAACTAATCCTAGGACCTTACCTCCCCAAGACCAGTTCAGTGGGAAGAACAGTTATACTGATTAAAGCAAGCATTCTTAATCTATGATCTGTAGTCAGTATCTACAGAGTATATATGACTTGAATGGGAAGAAACAGACTTTTACTTTCACTGACCTCTTATTTTAACATTTCTTTCTGTTAATGAATGTAGACACCAAACCACAGTGCTAATAACATTGCCAGTAAATCTGTCATTAATAGGAATATAATTTCTTTCATTCCAACTTGGAAATGATAGACTTGCATTCACTCAGTAACTAATTCCTTAACAGTGAGTCAGAACCATAGCTGACCCTACAGCAGATTTCCTGAGGCTATAAGTTACGTAGAAGGAGATTGCCCATCTTTCTCCCATGCAGCATCTGGTGAATTTGAACTGGCAGAGCGATTTTGGCCTTTGGGTTAACAACCTGAATCACTGTGAATTATGTCACCAGAGCTTATCGTTAAATCTTACTATTTAACGTACTAATAATTGTGCATAATTTAATCACATATTTTTAACACTTTGTTAATTATGTTGTAATAGCATGCTTGGAAAGGTGGAGGGGTGGTGAATAGAGGAAGACCCTAACCAGGTGGATTGATACAGTGACTGCAGCAGTAGGCTTGAGTGTGTCAGAGATGGTGAGGATAGCACAGGATAGACGGAGTTCACCTCTGTTGTTCATAGGGCCGCTGTGAGTCATACACAGCTCAACAGCACCTTAAAACAACAACAACATCTCTTTTTAAGTCTGTTGTATGCCAGTGAGTTGGAACCAACTCCTAGCTAACCCTTCAGTGGGTTTTTGAGGCAGTAAAGTGCACAGGAGGCAATTGCCTATGTTTTTACACTTGGGAATATTCTCACATGGAGTCTATAAGCATCACCAAAATTTGCCTATATACCATGGGTCCATGGTACAGAAAGATATTTCTGGGCTAGATGAAATTTATAAAGCAAAGGAAAGATTAGATTTTTATGTATTCAAGAGGCTGGACTTTATGAGGAGGAATGTGGCATCAGGATTGGAGGAATACTCATCAGCAACCTGTGCTATGCAGAGGACATAACCATTCTCGCTGAAACTGAGGAGGACCTGAAGCTGCAGAGGGTCAAGGACTATAGTCTTTAATATGGATTGAAGCTTAACATGAAGAAAACAAAGATTCTTACCACTGGGCCAATTGGCAGCACCATGATATATGGAGAAGAGATTGAGATTGTTAACAGTTTCTGCTTGCTCAGTTCCACAGTCAACACTCTTGGCCCAAGTAGTCAGGAAATTGCATTAGGAAAATCTGCTGTCAGAAACTGCTCCAGAGTGCTGAAGAGCAGCATTGTCAGTCTCAAAACTAAGGTACACCTGATCCAGGTCATGGTCTTGGCAGTATTTTGCAAAACATCAGAGAGCTTGCCAGTGACTAAGGATGACAGAAAATGAATCAGTGCCTTTGAGTTGTGGTGCTGAAGAAGAGTGTTGAACAGACCGTGGACTGCCAAGAGAACGAACAAGTCTCCTGGTGAGGATGAAACCAAGTTGCTCTTTGGAGGCAAGGATTTTGAAACTCCATCCCACATACTTTGGGCATGTAGTCATCAGAGAAGAACAGCATGCTTGGAAAGGTAGAGGGGGGGACCATGTAGAAGAGGGAAGACCCTGGAGGAGAGGGATTGACACAGTGACTGGGGTAAGGAGGGTAGGTGTGTCAGATACAGGGAGATTGATTAAGATGGAACAGGGTTCAGAGCTATTGTGCATGGGATTGATGTGGGTCATTGTCAGCTCAGTAGTACATAACATTGGCTATAGGTAGAATCTAGTTTGTAGGTTTACATCTGTAGATTTTCACAAGAATGAAAATAATAACAGTAATCTAAATTTCCTTGTGGAATGCAGGTACTACTCAGAAAGTATTACTATGATAGTGTAGTCTTAAAGACTCAAACTCACTGCTGTGGCATCTGAACCACCTCATAACTGACCCTCTTACAGGTTTCTGAGACTGTAAGTTGAATTGTGGAGCTTGCCTGTCATTCTCCCTTGTCACTGCTGATAGATTTGAACTGCCTTTGAGTTAACAGTTTGATCCATAAGGACTCTGTCATTAGAGCTTCCTTTCCCTGCTTTTTAAAAAGCTCAACCTATTTCCCTCATTCACTAAGTCTTTTTTTTCCCCCTCCCTCCACAGGAAAATGACAGTGGTGATTTGGCGAGCCCTTTGTGGCCAGACACAGAAATTGAAGAAGACATGCCGACACTTTCTCCACAAATATCCCCTGACATTGAAGAACAGGATGCAGCATCTTTAGTAGAGTCACCGATGCCTCAGTTAAGTGCCTGTGGTTCAGAATGGAGCACTGAAGGAGAAGTGAAAACAGCACTGAACAATCATGATAAAGAATTATGTGTCTTAAATCCTGAAGACCCTCAAACTAAATTGTTTAGAAAAACTGATGTTAATCATTGTGGCAGAACACAGAGTGGGCTCTCTAGTGTGACAGATATAGTTACAACTACAAACAGCACAGTAGAGGCAAAAAATGAAGAGACTAGCCTGCTGAACAGCATTGATACTTCCAAAAGAAAAAACCAGGAACCTTCCTCTGAAACAGTTAAAGATCCGTGCATTTCTCCAAAAAGAAGAAAAGTGTTCCCCAAAATTTCCACAGACCAAGAGGAAGCAGAAATCAACTTTACCCAGAAACTGATAGAGTGGGAGCAACTACTTTTTGAGAGACATAAGCAAGAAGAGCAGGACAGATTGCTAGCATTACAACTTCAGAAAGAGGTGGATAAAGAACAAATGAAGCCAAACCGGCAGAAAGGCTCCCCAGATGCGTATCAGTTACGTACTACAACCATTTATCCAGACAAATTGCCAAATGGACAGAAGAATTCCAAAGATAAGAACTTCCAGAAACAAACTGACAGAGAACATCCACAAATGAGGAGAGGCTCAAGAGATGAAAACTGCCAGCCACCTTTGAAACACTTAGATACTTTTAATGGCCAGAGGAAGCCAAATTCTACTAAAGATCGTTGTAATGCCCGTTCCCTGCAGTCTAGTAATTCACAGAGGAGTATTTTTCAAATGTTTCAGAGATATAGAAAGTAAAGAATTCCTAAAGAGTACATTTTGTGATCTCATAATGCTGGATGATAAGGTTCCCTTTTAAGATCTGTAGCTGACTTTTGTCTGTGGGTATACACTTGTCCTCTGTGGAAAGATTGTATCACAGTGTGTTTCTCCAAAGCTAAGTGTTTGATAAGGATTTCAGTCCATTTCATTGTTAATAACTGTGATGATGTACTAAGGTTAACTGTCCTTATAGATAAACTTGCCTTTGCCAACTCGGGGAAATCTTAAGTGCCATTCTCTTTCCCCCAAAATGCATGTTAGTAGCTTTTGGTTACCTTCTTGTCATGACTAGTTATCAAAGCAAGCTAAACAATAGTAAATAGTTAAGGATCCCAGGAAACATTTAATAACAACGAAATGTTCTTGCTATTTCCTGCATCTCCCATAACACTAACTTCCATTTCCACGTTAATGAAATTTCAAGCATTTTCTTTGATTTAGAATGTGTTAGGATCATTTTCAAACAAGAAAAGCTACAGTCTTCTGGGAAAGTTGGAAACTAGTTGACAAAAGATACAAAGGAGTTCAGAGAGACGAGATGAAGCTGGGTGGGGTGCATTGACCGTTTGCAGACTCTGGAACTGCAGGGCTAGTCAGAGACTGGGAGTAGGATGGAGGGGCAGGTTCCATTTGGTAACACATTCTCCTTTTGGACTCAGTCCTTCCTTTGCTGAATGACACAGAAAGTACTTCAGGTTCTTTTGCCACTCCTCACGCAATAGTGTTTAGTGTGAAAAATCAAAATTGCTACTCAGTTACTTGAATTTTTTTGTAAAGTCACATTTCTTTGAATATTCTGTGCAGGGCAGGGGTGGGGGGAATTTATTTTACCAAAAATTTTATCAGTACTTGTGGGAGAAACCTTTGGCAAAACCATGTGTTTATTTGTTTATTGATGCAGACCTTTATTGTGTTTACAGACAAAACCAGAAAGTATAAAGATTGTTAATGCTTTTGTTTCACTGCTAAGGACAGTTTTCACAAATAACAGTCCTAGCAGCATTTCTCCCAGTGTATACTAAGGCTGTCCCCTAATACAAAAAGAAATAAGCTAATTCTAGCTTAATTTTAGCAACATTTTTCTAAATTGTTAAGCATATTTCCTTCAGATTTTGTAATTAAAATTAATCTTTACCTATTGACAGCGTTTGCTTCAGTGTTAATAGGGTAATTTTGAATAAAATTCTAATGCTACTTTGAAATTTAATTTGCTCTGACTCAAAAAAAGGGAGAGGAGAAAGACTTCCTCCTCATTAAAGACTGTAGTAAAATTAAGTTTTATAAAAAATTTAAAAACTGAGTTCTAGTTCTAAACTAGTACTAGTTCAAACAAGTACTTTTTGAGAATTTTGTTTTGTGGCAGACATCATTGGGGATCCTCAAATTGAAATTTACCACATTAAATCATCTGTGACAATTTGACCAGAAAGAAAAATAGTCCAAGTTATGATATAATTAGAATTGAAACACTTTTTTGTTTGTGAAGAGTTGTCTCCCTGACTAACGTTGGTTATAAGGTCAATTTTTCTTTCTCCTTTAGCTTTTTTTGCTATTCTTACCACGTGTGTAATAAACATTTATGTCGGTCTTCAGACTATTGCTACTTTTTCTTTTTTTGTGGTAACAATCTGGCAATGTTTAATGATCAAGGAATACTAAAGCTGGTCATAGTTTGGAATATGAGAAAGTTAGAGTGATTATGAAAAATAAAAATTGAATACACAGAAATTTGGAGTTACGTATTTAAAAGTTCCATAAAATTAGAAGGCTTCAAAAACTGTAGAAGTCATAATTACAGTTCATCACAAAATGTTAATTCCAAAGAAAAAAGGGGGGAGAGTTAATTCCATTTATTTAAAGTAGAACAAGGAATATTGTTGCTCATATCAGATGGTTCTTATTTTTTTTTTTTGCTTTCTTTTTTTTATTATTATTATTAAATTTTATTAGTTTCAATGAACATTCACAGGGATTCTGGGCTTTCACTCCTTCATTGCCGCACCATTCTCTCCACCCTCCTCCCCAGTTTGTTCTTCTTCCCCGCCATCCGAATGTCTGTTTTAATTGTCCAATTGCCACAGTGCTTGTCAAAGTCAGTTCATATTAGATGGTTCTTGACTGAAAGCTTAGAATAGCAGAAGGACATTTCACCTGTCTTTTATTAGCTGTATAGAGACATTCAACTGGAATTCTGGAGCACATAATTGTACTCATCATACGTAGACTAAGAGTCTTTTCAAGTACAAACAGGTATTTTTTGGTTTAAAATTGGGAGAATGTGCATCAAGATGATGGCACCCTTGTACCATAATTAATCTCTATGGAATAATCTGGTCACTATACTATTTAAATATAAATACCGTATTAGAATTGGAAAAAGATTGATTGACAGCCCGTTATATCCAGGTAACCTTGTTTGCAGAAAGAGGAGGACTTAAAGCACTTACTGAAGATCAAAGGCTACAGTATTACTCTTCAACATAAATTCACACAACTGGAGCAATATGCAAAGGCATGGTAAATGGAGAAAAAATTGAGACTGTCCAGGATTTCATCTTAGATCAGCAGTCAATACCTATTGGACTTATGCATGTGAAAGCTGGAAATTTTCAAAAGAAAAATGGATGCCTTTGAATCAGGGCGTTAGTGACAAATAATACAGTCAGAAGAATAAGCAAATCTGACGTTGGAAAATTGAAGCCAAACGATGGTGAGATCGTCTTTCACACTTGTTAAAGCTGTGACTCCTTTCAACCCTATAAGCAGTCGCTCTGAACCCTCCCCTATCCTATAGTATCATAATTGTTGCCACACTTGAATCCAATGTTCGTCACTGTGTCCATAGATCTTGCTGAAGGTCTTCCACTCCTTTGCTGAGCCTCTGTCCACCTTTCCAAGCCTGATGTCTTTTTCCAAGGACTAGACCCTCTTAAGAACATGCCCAGAGTCTGTGAGACAAAACATTTACTATCTTTGCCTCCAAAGAGCTCCCTGGATGCACCTTTCCAAGACATAATTATTTGGCCTTTTGGCAGTTCATGGAATGTTCAGCACTCTTCTGCAGCAAAACTCAAAGGCATTGATGATTCTTTGTCATCCTTACACATTGTCCAACTTTCAGATAGATGGCAAGTGATTGAAAAAGACCATAGCGGGGACACACCCCTGCAGCTCTGACCTACGACCCCCATCTTCAGGTATCGCATTGCTCCACCCCCCCGACCCAGCTCGCGGGCCCCCCCACCCCGCCAGCTCTGAACATTGGGACTGGCCAAGGGCCGTGCGCAGACGCAGTGGACGGTGGGAGTGGACTTGAATCGGGACACACAGACCCTGCAGCTCTGACCTACAACCCCCATCTTCAGGTATCGCATTGCTCCCCCCGACCTGGCTCGCGCCCCCCCCCACCAGCTCTGAACTTTGGGACTGGCCAAGGGCTGTGCGCAGACGCAGTGGCAGTGGGAGTGGATTTGAATCGGGACACACCCCTGCAGCTCT